ATTAAGAAAACTATTTCGATTTTTTAGCAATAATTATTGCTCATTGTTGCCTCGGATAATTGCTAATAACAGTAGTAGTCTCTTATAAAAGCAGTGGTAAATTTAATTTCCAGTACTCTATTATCTTATTATAGTTCTAACTATCATTAAGAAATAAATGTGATTAATGATAAATTTATAATAATTCATAATGGTTTTAAATTGAATAAAGCTTTATTTCGTATTATCCGTCACATTGATAATGTCGCTAATTTATAAGGGCTTATTGCTTCAATTTTTACTAATATGATGAATTGCAATTGTTATATTTTATTAGCATCGACTTTAGTACTAATAAAATTATTAAGGTCTCGGAATGATGAACATCGATAGAAAATACACAAGTTTGTTTAAGAAGGGAACGCAAGTATGAAAACAATGAAAAGTATCCTGCTATAGAGAACAAGAGCATAACTACGGCAACAAACCAAACGATGACACACGAAAACTCATACAATTATCAAATAAATAAAATACATGATAAGATAGTAGACTCAAAGCATCTCTAATTATCTCCGAAGACGGGCTCCCCTTTTCACACAAATACCAACTTACATACGAATAAAGCTACTTTATATGTAGTAAGTACGGAAGATGCGGTCGTTTGGCGGTACATGGTCGCGCTTTTTAATCACAATAAATTCCCACGTCGGGGAACCCGCATCCAAGTCTTTGATCTGTTGCACATCTGTAGATGATGGATTCTAGTGATAATTTTATTATTACGCTTTAGTGTAATTTTCTAGTTGTTCAAACATTTGATCGTCGCTGCACTCTTTTATGTCGATCCTCCACCCTTTTCTTTCTAGCATCTAAAAATTATGTATGATGATTAATAAACGCCATTTCTCGGAATTGTGAAAAAGTTTAGTTGTTTACTCAGCACTACTATAATAATCAAACTAACTGTACGACGAGACAAGTTATATAACGAGCAACTAATATTGTTTAGTGCAGTGCCCCTCCCCAAGTCACAGCTTTTAATTAAAAATTTGACTCTTACAATGTAAAATATCGCCGATCAACTTTGAGTTATTTTTCCACGAAACTATCTTTTAACATTACAACAGATATATTAGAGAAAATAATTCATGATCGTATTATTTCTCATAAAAATCAATAAAGTAAATCAATTTCGAATTCTCTTGTTCGAAGCATTAAGGGCCGTTTAAAAGTGTTTAAACGATTTTATTCTAATTTTCGCATAATATGTTTATAGAAAAATCTAATTATCTATCCACGTAATGTCAATTACACATAGATTGATTAATAAAAATCAAAACTTTATTTCTTTTTAAATACTTAGTTCATTATAAATGAATTGCAACAATATTTAAATATTCTTCAGCAGAATTTTCGATATTGTTTCAAATAATTATAATATCAATAATTTACGAAGTATAGAAATTTTTAATTTAAATAATATATCTTAAAAATGTCTAATGTAATTTGAATTTTTATATAAAATTCTAAAATTTTGAATAAAATAACATAATGTATCCTCTATGATTTTTCACATATATAAATAATAAAACCTTATTTTATATGACAGGATATTTCATCTTTATCCCACTCGATTAAATAAATTCTTTATTTATACATTATAATTAAAATACGTAATAGGAAGAATATCTCATAAATGGAAAAAATGTTTATAAATTAAAAGAATAAACGATAAAAAAATTAATATGTAATTTGGTGGTAAAAATATATTTTGTTTAATATATTTAAAAAGCGATACCAAAAATTCCATGCAAAACATTATATTCACAGATTTCACCATTTTCACTTATTAATACTATATTATAACACCCAATGAACATTACATTGTTGTAAATAGTACTTTGAATAATAATATGTAATGCAGAATGAATATTACATTGATAGGAGTAATATACTGTATATAAGCGCTTGTATTCCTAATGAAAAATGGATATAATATTAAAATCCATATATATTGATTTATAAATTATAAAATAGTTAAATTAAGATCTTTTCATGAATTCAGAATTCATTTGTTAAATATTACATTGAAGTTAATTTGAATATTAAAATGAAATATAAATAAAGTATTTTATTATCTTTTGAAAGAATCATTAGCAATGCTTGAGAGTTCTTTAATTTTCGAATTAATATTTTAAACAGGATATTAGTGATCTTCACAATTAATATATAAGTTATCGGCAATAATTCTACAAGGAACTGACATTTTCTACTTTATTTTACTCGATGGTTATGCATAAATTACCGACTGTCGAGAATAAATTTTGACAAAGTATCAAAAATTAAATTTAACCATGCGGCATTCCAATAGTAGTAAATAGTAAAAGAAGGAATTTGTTTTCTGGACTTCTCGATATACTGCTACTTCAATTTGCCATCCAAGATTTTACATTAAATTCAATTGTTTTAAAAAGTTCTGTAAATGAAATGGATCTTCTCTAGTAGGTGATTTTCTATCGGACTAATGGAAAAAAAAATCGTAGAGTTGAAATTCCAGTTCGATGGAATCTCGAAGAGAGAGAGAGAGAGAGAGAGTAGAGACTCTCACCAAAACCTGTAGAAGTAAGCTCTATATCGCGGTGCATACGAGCAATAAGTAAAATGGAAAACAGAAAGACGCAGTCCACCACTGTTATATACCTCTGATTGCTTCGTATGAACTGTCAGGTATTCCACTTGGATGACTTTTTACATTTCGATACAATCGTATCCCCGAGAAACGACAGTTTCTGGTTGAAATTTCTGTCGCACCGCGTTTATTGAAAGTGCCACGTTATTCCACGCTCTCATATTTGAATTTACGAGGGGGTTTTGTTTAAACAAAGTATTTATAAATAAAGTGAAATTTAGCGTTTCGGTAAATCTTAGCATTTATTGAATATTGATTTATTATTGTGATATTTCTAAATACTTAATGCGTATGCACGAGTTTATGCTTTGTAATAAAAAGATTCACGTAACCTAATAAATAGAAAGGTGGCGAACGAATTGATACGCGTAGTTTAAGTCGATTGTTTTTCTACTAATAAATTTCATTTGATTAAACGTCAATAGACGTATTAAATCAAGCATATTTTTATATACATTTAATGAACATTTAAACACGCGAAGACATTGTGGCCATACTATTATACAACATTTTCGCACAAATTTTGTTTCTTAAAAATCGTACTACGTACTTTCTGTATTATTATTAGATCAAATTTGAAAATAATCCCCCGCATAAAAAAGACTTCCGTCGAATAAAAGAAGAGTGCGAAAGTTTAAAAATTTCTAGGCTATAAAATAAAGTTTATTTACGTGAAAAGTTGAAGGTAACGATACACATGATTCACAAAAATTCGAAATAAACAATCTAATGACTCTCATATTTGAGTTTTAATAAGCCAGTAAATTAAAAATCCCTGAAATACGCCCCTAACCCCATGAATCCATGAACAAATAACTTATCGATATTCCAAGACAACCAACCAGCGCGGATCACATAAGAATGTTTATATCTCTATTTACATGTATATTTTACACAAACGAAGCTACGTACTCGGTGAATTCCACGTAACCGAAAAACAATAAAAAAAATGATCATGCCGTAAAGCCGCATATACTCACGCAAGTACACAAGTGCACCCAAGGGCACAGCGAGAGCCTCATTGCGCTTCATTTTATTTTTATTTCTCCGCCGTATGCAACGCGAATCCACTCCCTATTCGCCGTATTTCAAACCTCGACTCAACGCTTCTTTAACAAAAACGAAAATAAAAACAAAAACAAAAAACAGCAACGAAATAAAAAACAATCAGATGAGAAGATGAAAGGGGTCGCGGTGGTGTGGCGAGGGGAGAGGAGGAGGAGAAGGAGGAAGGCAAAAAGACTCCGACGTTCGCTAACTGTTTTCATATGAAATCCCAGGCGACTCTGTCTTCAATATGTCACATGGGCTTCGGCTCGTGACCGGCGAGCCAAGCGCAAAGCTCATTTACAGTCAAAGCACGGAAATAATAGTTGTTTAGTGACCTGCGCCACTGCATTCCACATCTCGCTACGTGAGCATATCTATTCCTTGGGTCATAAGCAAAAATACATATGTATAGCTACTCGTCCCACCCTTTTCCTACAATCATCATCACTTTATTTTGCGGATATAGAGAATGTGCATTTGGAAAAATCCCCGCAAAGGCGGAATATTGTGAAAAAAAGTTATGGCACTTTATATTTACAATTGGATAATAATTTCTTTACGATTTAATAAAGCTACACTCGCTACCAAATGGCCAGTTTTTCAATGGACTTTCGACTCAATCCTCATCTTTCAATTAATCCTGCGCTCAATTAAGAGAGACATGGATTTCAGCGACAAATCAACGACGATTCGTTCAAGTCCCAAGTTAATCTCCTCCTGGCTAACAAAATACAATACGAAACGACTTTTAATGAACATTGTTATTATTTTCAGTTTATGTTTGCTTTGGCAAAGCAATTTATTTCGATTATAATTCTCAGCGATAATATAAAAATTCGCCAACCACGTAGATTGGCGGCTACTTCTAGTTCACAATGTCAAAAACTATCCGTCTAATGATTGATGAAATCTGGATTTCTCAGTAAGGAACCAATGTTGAGTACAGTGATACATTGACACTTGAAAACGTGAAAATTTAATTTATTTTACTTACCGCTTACCAATTACAAAAGCTGGTACGCCCGACATTCAAGCTCGTCATTAATCACACTATTTCCCGCGAAACAATTAATCGCACCGTACCCATTAATAAGCCCTTGAAATGAAAAACGAAGAATTACGAATGAGCGAGGAGCGTAGTAGAAAAGACCGTAGCCAGAGCTGAATACTCTCTAGGGTCCCGTGTCAATTCCCAGCACCGATAAACGCGGTCGTGCCCGTGAAATGGCCCACTCGGCATCCAAGTGATTCTCGGGGAAGCGAGCGTGCGATCGCATACCTGGGCTTTCCGGAATATCTGCCTCGGCTCCTCCTCTGCTTCTGGCATTTTTTCGGATGGGCCAGGACCAATGCCTTTGGCGAGGCTGATGGAGGTGTTCGCTCTGTCCCTGTAAGTCGCTGTCGATCCGGAAAATGAGCCGCCGGCATGTATACAAGAGCCCACCGCTCCCCACCGATTCCACTCGCGTCCAATGAAAAGTGTATAACGCGAAATTACGGCGGCACTCCAACTGCCTTTGCAGTGAGTCGAGTAGACCTTGCACTTTTTGCTCAGGGCCCGACGTCGATGGGATGAAGTATTCTGCGGTCGCGTATTTTCCGCTTACGAAAGTTGAATTTCTCACAAATCGAGCGTTGCGAGACTCGAGGAATGGCGGCCGGTGAGAAAGAGCGCGAATCGCTCTGTGCTCGATGATAAAAGTTGCCAATGGACTTTGAATCTCTAAATCTCGGTGAAGCCGTTGTACTCAACATTGGAGGCTCGGTAACTTTCGATTTATTTTAAAAGTCCTTTTTTTCTTATTTCTTTCTTTCTTTTTTTTTCTTTCTTTATTTTTAGCCTTTAAGGAACGATGCTCCAGCACTAATCGAACGATTCAACTCGCGGTAAAATTAATTAACCGCGACGTCAACGTATTTACGAACGTTATTATAACATGCCGCATGTCGCATCTCGCATTTCCCGAACTCGCTCCCAAATATTTTCACCTTAATGTGAGCGATAGGAGTTAAATCGTTCGCCAAATTTTTCTTTCATTTATATCTTTACGTCGCGGCTCCTCAACTTTAGCGCTACTTTAGCGTAAATTAAACTTTTGTTTCGCATTTCGCAACTCTGGCTTCGGCTGAAGCCACGCGGCATTTATTACCATTATTATATTATCACTTTACAATACGGCCGATCATAAATAACGCTCGAGCGAACAAAAGCCAAGGAAAAACGAGAGAAAACGCACGGCGCATAAAGTACCAAAATAATTAGTATCCCGACGACTCGGATGGATATTCAATTAAATTTCACGTGTTCATCGGCCATCGTTTCATTACGTGTTTGATATATTAATGGGAAGGCGGCCGGGAAAGGCGGGTAGGCGCGCGCACTCCGTGCACACGTTTAGACGGCAAAATAAACTTGAACGCGGGAGAACTTGTTTGCACAATTTCATTCCTCTCGCTCAGGCCGCGGCGGATCGATCAATTTTTTGCGCCACCATAAGCCTCCGACCGAGCTCGGCGCGTTTAGCAACTCCGCTAAGGTGAAAAACAAACGGCGGCGGCAAACGATCGCTTTCGGTACGAGCCTTTCCTCAATCGTCCAAACGCGAACTCGCACTTGCCACCTTCACCGCATCTCTTAAACGTCGCATCGGCATCCTTGGCGCTTACCCGTGGCACTCGCGTACTTGGCCGCACCGTACCGCAGACGCGAGACAACTGCTTAGCCAAGCCGCTCGATTACAAGGATCAACGCGCCCGACGACATCTAGATGCTGGCCCGCGTGTGTTTTGAAATGCAGCAGCACCAGCACCAGCAGCAGCGACAGCAATAGTAACAGTAACAGTAACAGCGACAGCGACAGCGACAGCGACAGCGACAGCGGCGGTGGCGGTGGCGACAAAGGCGATAATCTTCCATTAGATTGTTTACGTCGTCCCTCGCCCCGAAAGAAAGGCCAACCCGATGGATTCAACAAGGTGGCATTCAGCTCGTGGTTGGTGAAACGCCACGGGAAGCCGATCGCCCGCGCAACATTCACCGGGCCAGGGTAACGTAAACTCGTAAATGGATGGGCTGGAGGAACGAGCGGATTTATCAAATAGATTTACGTCCCCTCTCGCCCTGCCTCGAATTCACACGCGGACATGACAACTGACGGACAACGCGGGCCACCACCACACTTGGGATTATCACAATGGATCACAGGTGCGCAGGGGAGGGAAGAGGAAGCGAACCCGCGTGTACACGAGGAGCACGAGCGTCGCACTCTCCACGTGCTCGGAGGAAAATCGCGTGCACTCGAGTATTATGAGATGCCGAGGAGAGTTTCGCGCAACAAAGCTGAATAACGTAGGCTCGCTCTTGAGAGCTTCGAGCCTTTCACTCTCGCTCGAACGACTGCCACTCGGTCGGGAATCTCGTACGCTTTTGCTCTCTCTCCTTCTATGTCTCTCCCACACTTCGTCTCTCCTCTGCTTTCGTTTCGCTCGTTCTCCTTCTTATCTATAGTCGCTGCCCATGTCCTTTTGTCCTTAGCGGTCTTTCCTTCTATTCGCCGCCTGAGTTTAGCGCCTTTATTTCTTTCCGCTCTAGCTATCCCTACCGAATACTTTATCTCCCCGCCGGGTCTTTTTGCTTTTCGTGGTCGAGTCTTGAGAGGGTAGGAAGCGTCGGAAACAAGGTACACGTGTGTACTGCACGGTTCCGCGACTTTCTTGCGCGGAAGGAAGTCTGCTTCTAATTTCCGCTCTTGATATTTTTGTTTCTCTTGCTCTACGAAGTCTCCCTCCTACTCTTCCAGCTCTTTTTATCATTGGTTTTGTTCGCATTTCTTTTCACATTACGCGCCTGTGCCATTATCGCCTTTTTTTATTTACATATTTATTTATTAAAAATATGTTTTTTGTTTCTTTTGTCGTTGTCGTCGTCATCCTCATCACTTTCTCTATTTTTTTTCTTCTTTTTTACTACATTCTTATACTTTTACATTATTTTGGTTTATTGCTTTTGTCTATTACACCTTATATTTTATTTTCGTTGGCTGTTTGGAATTGATGTGTGCTATAAAGTAGCAAGTAGCATCCCTTCTTCGGAAAGTATAACATTGCGGAATAGCCAGCTTTATGACGTTACACGGTCTTGTTTATTTCAATCCGATTATTTTTTAAAATTCTCCCTTTTAATTAAATACCAAACGCTGAAAGCCCGAATTGGAAATACGGACACCTTTGTATTAGGAATGCATTTATATTTTTTTTACAATTTATAATCAGTCTGCGATTTGACAACTACAGTTTCTATAATCAATGAATGATCTATAAAAGAGAGAACGTAAATTATAGCTGCGGGTGATTTATAAGCAATAGATCTATACTTTCTAATCGGCAGCGTATGATTTACAGTGATGAAAAAAAATCTCATAACGGATAATTAATAAAATTGAATGTTTGTATGTTACATAATATTTGTTTGTGCATACAAATTGACAAATTCAATTACAAAGTACTTGTACTTTTTACGCGTTCTAGAAGTATCGAACATTTAAGAAAAAATATAATTCAATCGTGCTTTTCTAATCGTAAATTAATAATTTATATTTTATTGTGTATTCTCAAATCAAGAAGAATCTGCATTTTTATCCTCCCGTTGGGGGATAATTTAATATTCAAAGGAAATTTTAACACTGTTTGAGAGAAACGTTAATCTTTTTATATCCATGTTTGCGACTGCATACGTATCGATAAAAATGTGTCAAAAAATGTGTTACTTTAACGTACGTGTCAAGTTATTTCTACATGCCTGTCAAGTTCTGAATTTAATTAACCTCGTAAAAAACAAATTATTTGAATAAGAAATCGATTTATGAATATTCAACAGCAACAGTGATTGTCTTTGCACGGAATTACTTAATAAATGACATAAAAGTGGAAAAGATTTTTGTCGAGTTCAATTATTAAAAATGATAAAATAATTGTTATAAAGTAATTCATAGTCACGACGACAGTCATCATATTCTGATGTTTAAGAAAAAAATAAGACAGAAGAAAACAAGCAAATACTTTTTACAACTGCTATATGGTATTGGGGTATGCTCTCCTCGAAACTATTATCCCAAATGTCTTTATTCGCTTTCAAAAAATTAATTAATGTCCTAAAATGTATTTTCAAGGTAATTTAACCATAGAGTATAAAAGTAATTATTCCTCGAGTGTGACAGAAGAGTGTAAGTGGAAAGACGCGTTTCAAAAGTGCATATCGTCAAAGTATATTATGTAATAATTTTCAAGCCAAGAGAAAAGGGGTCAATTTTTCAATCGCTTATAATATTTATAAATATGCGTGCGCATATTACCTCGTTTAAATTCAAAACTCTTTATGCCGTACTCGAGAAATATTACCTTACTTTACGGCGTATGCACCACCGATATATCATCGATGGCGCCCTCGTTTGCGGTTCACCCGAAAATTCAACGAAAATCCACTCGACTATAAAACCTGTACACGCGGGAAGAAAAAACCAAGTGCATTATAATGCTGCGCAATCTCTTTCCATCTTTTGATGCTTTTAGACGGAGTAAAATTCAAAATAATTAAAAAGTTTATTTATAGAAAAAGTGCAAGGATGCATCGCATTAAGAATACAATGCGCAATAGCGCGTGAATGTATACAAAAACTTTATATCTAATATTTTTCCGAAAGTATAAACTCGTTAACGTAGGTTAATAAGAAAGGCTTTACAGAGCTATTCAGGTATTTAAAGCGTAAGAGCTATACCTATTGATAATAATCCATGTAGTATCTTACAAGTAACAATACAGCATACAAGCGCTTTTTAATGAATAAATTTTAAACATTTAATTCAAAACAATTTGTTTTTGCTTTATGTATTTATTTGTTAATTTATTGATTTTATTATTATTTTTTTTAAATAAATTTGTATTAATATACGAATAAATTTTATACTATTTATGGAGGAGAGATATGCTATGATATAAGATTTATTAATAAAGTTTAAATTAATCAACAATTCTAGGTACAACTACTTAAAAGCCATTCTCTTTATGTTCTAACGTTTTTAACAGTTCGTTAGTTTAATATAAATAATTCACATGAGCGCATAAGCCATTCTTTTGTATTTATAAATAAAAATAATTATTTTTTACAGTTTTATTCCTTTGTTGATAAGAATAAATAAAAGTTGTTTTAAATTAGTCATTAAATTTATAATAATACTTATTCTTTTGTTCAGCCTGATGTTGACTATCCACATACACGAGATAATTAATATACTTTTTACACTAATTATTCGCGTTACTTATAATTCAATATAATTTTAATTAAATTATAAATGTATGCAAGACTAAATTTTTAATGATTCGATGAAATATCATAGATAGAAATATCCTAGATATATCATAGCTTTCAACTTTTAAAATATATAAACCAACAATAATTACGAAGTTTCAAAATGTGAGATAACCCGAGTTGAATCATGATTTTAATTTACATTATACGGGACTAAACTATCTTTACTAGTTAAAAATTTCAATTAGAGCCTGAAATCATAGAAAGATGTCGTATAATGGCAAAATATTTACATTATCGAAACATTATTCATAACAAACATTTTTCATAACACGTCGATAAAAATAAAATATCGATTTGCTTTACACTCAGCAAGAAATTAAACTGCTTAGTAGATTTAGAACATATTTTCACTTTCGACATTACATTTGCATCGGTACTACTCTTCTCAGTTGTCTGAGTATTTATCCGATGACCTGACGCACATAACTTTTATCCGGTGCACATCCATTAATTCATAATGAAAACAGAAACAAAACATTTCTTTTTATTTTTATATCCTCTATGTACTTTTTATCCCTATCTGGCTCAATAAATAAATCATTTCTACTCGCAGTAATTGTGAGCGTACAAAATATCCATTAGTCACAATGTTTCGGAATTACACAAGATCCCTGCTTCAGATATTTGTAATTTCAGATCATTCATGCATATGCATGAGAGATTACTTTTTGTGGGCTAGCCAATGCCGTCTCGGCATTTAATAATTCAAGAGTGTTCCGTCGATCGAGTCAAACATTCGTTGACGAGGCGATTAAATAAAAAGATCAAAGACAGTCAATAAATACACATCGGTCATGATTTAAATAATAGAATTCTGTAATAAATCCCAAAGATCCATCATCTTATTACACTTATCCACGCGATCTGTGCGATTAGTGGGAGATGCAGTAAGGATTGAATGTAGCAGAAGTAATAGTGGTAACCTCGACGTGCATGTGCGAGCCTTGAAGGAAGGGAATATTATAATAAACGTGAGAGAAAACGCCCATTCCCCTTACGTTGCACGGCGATGGCGACGGCGACAAGGCGACAAGGACGTCACGCGTGATCCCGTACGTGTACACAGAGAGAGAGAGAGAGAGAGAGAGAGAGAGAGAGTGAGAGAGTCGTCCATCACCTATCTTTGGCTTTTTTCAGACTACTGAGTTCTCAACTTTTGTACGGCAGCCGAAATACATGTGTGCGCACACTGATTTATCGCTGCGCGAACCCAGCGATGCTATTCAGAAGCGCTACTTTACTTTCTTAAGCGAGTGCACGCTTTCCTCTTTTGCTCTTACTGCACGACTCATCTTTGCGAGACAGCTTGTCATCCGTTTAACCATTA